GACTAATCGCAAAAATAATCGGTGACTAGTCGACTATCAAAATAATCGTTTGTGGCAGCCCTAACTTACATGCTCTGCCCTCTAAATGAGTTCTAAAGATGGCAGCTCAGCCCGCTCCCCTGACTCCTACACGAGGCAAACACAAGTGTGATTGGAGGCAGGTGGATGAAGCCGTGGTTGTTAAAGTCTCATGAGAGCACGATGAAAGGCTGATGGGAAACAGATGAAAGGCTGATGGGAAACAGATGAAATGGAGAAAAAAATGGCAGCCGCTTCAGGATTGAGTTATTAATACTGGGAGTGTTTCAGAGGTTATTTAAAGCTTCATTCTGCTGTCAGAGGGGACGAGGCACACTGAGGTGATATGAAGGGCGATAAGTGCTGCTTTTATTATAATTAATAGTAAAAGAATTATTCAGGGTACCGCAGGGTGTTTCAGGTCATGTGACTGCTTCCAGTCATTACTGATGCTGCTTTAATTGAGTTCACATTTTTAGATATAAGTAGGAACTACTTACCGACGATGTGATTTTAGCACATCAGTGTAAAGCAGAGTTATTCGTCCAGTCAGTGGCTTTGCTAAAGAGAGAAGCAGCTCAGTGAACACAATCATTTTAGGCTGCAAAAGGGCCAAAAAGGAGCTAATGAGGTGCTACTTATCCTGTTGCTCTCTGCTAATTCAGTCTCCAGCTGGTAAAGAGAAGTGACGTGTCATGTAACAGAGCAGCAGATGTAATTTATAGCCCGAAAGCCAGTTCGTGGTGAAAGGTTGCATTGCAGGAAAACAAGCTCGCTTTCATCATTTTAAAGGTCCCGGAGTATAAAAGCAGAATCAGGACGCACAAATAATGGCTCCATTGTTCCTGATGCATCACGAGCATGGAAGTGTGTGCATGGAGAACACAACTTATCAATGAATCCATGAATGTCAAACATTTGTCGGGTCCAGCATGAGGACATTTAGTGTGTCTGAGGAGCCTGAATGTGAGAGTGAGAATGTGTGTACGACGATAATACTGATGTGGTGCAAAGACTCACTTCCTTCTGCTGTTTCGGTTCATGCTACATCCTCGGTGAGAACAGCTGGAGGCCCAAACAAGCTTTTGCTGCCACACGTGAACTAAACTTGACCTCCATCTATGCTGCATCGATGTGTTTTACTTTTCTCCTCAGTGCCAGTCTCCAAATGATCATTGCTCATCACTACATTCCTCTCTGAGTCGTTGCAGGACTGATACTCTGAGTCATCCTGAACTTCACACAGTGTCAAACCTTTGCCTCGGGCTGTCTTTAGTCAGACGACCGTCACAGCAGCCGACTCTGAACCTCTGTCAGTGAGAGGTGAAGGACCCTCGTTTGGAGCCACGATCAGAGATATCTCACGTTCCTGCTGGTGCTGCCCAAAAATGTGCAGCGCCTGGCTTCAGAGCAGCGTCAGACATATTTGATTAGATATGTACAAAGATGAGTAATAAGCAGTTAATTAAAGTGTCGTTAGAAACCTTTAACAACCCATTCAGCTTTACCCTCAAACCCCAGGCTGCGTTTTTATTTTCTGTTTCCACTCAAGCCTTTACTTTCACTTGACTTATACAAATACACAAACACCTGATTGCACTTTTGAGGCTGTGGTTGGCAGTGATGAAGAGTTTAAAGCTGATTTCAGCCTTGATGGATGCGCACGTTAACACATCAAAGATGGACGTTTAGTTTCTCGTTCACAGTTTAAGAGGCCATCTTATTCAGTCGGATGAACATTGTGCACAGCGCCTTCGAGTGCGCGAGTCCACCGGCCTGTAACTGAGAGATGTGGTTGTTGAGATTGAACAGAAAATAATGCTGAGGAACAATATCCCCAGAGCTCCCTCTGAAATTACTTTAATATACTCTGTGTGTGTGGGCGGTGCACGCTTGTATGTGCAGAGGTGGCTGGAAAGGTTTGTGTACCTGTGTTGGAAATGCTTTTTGTGACGGTTAAATGAAAGACGCTCTGCTGCTCTCCGTCTTTGTCTCTGTCTTTCAGACACCTCGGTCTGGACCTGGTGCCGAGAAAGGAGTTTGAGATGGTTGATGAAGACCAGATCAGCGTGTCAGACCTTTATAAGATGGTAAGTCAAGTCACGCCTGCTCACACACTGGATTCATGACGGCTGCAGTGCACACAGTGATCCCACATCCTGGATACGTTGTGTAAAATGAGACAAAAATATCCTGCTGCTCATCTCATTTGTAGGTTGTAGCTTTTAATCAGGCATCCTCTAAAATCTGCATATTATTTGCAATTCTTTTAATTTTCATTATCCGCAAATGATGAGAAGGACGTTAAATAACCATCAGCAGGAGATTGAGTTTGATGAGCAGGTTGTTCTGCAAACTGAGCAGTTTTCTCATTTTTCACATAATTAAATCATTTCAAGTATTAGCACATAAAAGTAACAAGAAGTGAATTTTGTGCACATGAATATCAGTGACTGACTGTTTGCATTTGCAGGTCTCAGCTTGTCACCACACTGATAAATTAATAAAGTGGTGTTACTGTGAGAGTGTGAGAAAGCTTTTTGATTCCTCAGAAACAAACGAGTGAACAGCTCTGACGTGGAATTATCGGAGATTAATGTTTTATTTGCTTTTCTCCCTGAGAGAGCACATTTTATTCCATTTTCTGGGGCTAACACAGACCTGCTGGTTGCACCTTGGTGATTGCAGGCTGGATTCACTTCACAGTTGGAGGGAAGCTTTAGTTTCCAATCAGAGAGCAGGCTGCACCGCGAGGTTTAAACAGCAACAAGCCTCAACAGTTGGCAAAGTAATCGTGTGGCGACTGGTGAAGATCAGCAGATATTTCACTGAGCCGTTCATTTTAGACTCAAATCTTTTGTCTTTACGAGGATGAATCAGGAAGTTGTAACGTGAGTAATAACTATGAGACGTTTGTTGTCTCTGTGGCTGCGGCGAATCAGAGTTTTGATGCTCGAAACGCGTTTCGATTCTGCGTCACGCTGCTCGTCCTTTTCCCTTTTCGTCTTTTCTCTGGCCTCGAGCGGCGCCTGTTACCAGAAACAGATTTCTCGCTCACGTGACCTTCGTCTCAAACATTGAACACCAGCAGGAAATCTGACGTTGCTCTGCTGGCGGCTTCATCCGGATACCTTAAAACTGCTAATCTGATGATCTGAACCACCGACTGTAAAATCACCGTCCCGCCTCTGTTAACTTGTTCACAAACGCATAAATTAGAATAATTTCTCCTGTTATTGGAGCTGTTGTGTTGTATTTGAGTGCTACTTTAAATATCATAAATGAACGGAGTGAATGACAGTCGTAGCCTGCAGACAGCATGAGAAATAAGAGCAGAGTGAAGTTTCTACATTTCCAAAGAACAGATCAAATCCAAATAAATGGTCCTGAATAATCACAATTTCAAACCGTCATCATTAGGGCTGGGTATCGTCACTGATTTCTAGAATCGATTCAATTCCGATTCACAAGGTCCCGAATCGATTTGATCCACG